GCCGCATCGACAGTCTGTGGTTCGGACAAGTGTCGATTAGACGGAGTAAAAAACTCGACAGCGACACGATGTCGATGTCATGTCCCGTGTCACAGCGCGAGACGCGTACCAACGGGAATAGATGGCGCGATAGAGAATGAATAATCATTCGAAATTTAAAATTTTCGATGAGCGATTGATGACCCGAATTTTGATAGGGTGGGAAAATTTCAATCAATCGCCTTATTATTTGAAATTTGATTCAATAGCAACACAAAAATAAACAAAATATTGTTTATAATAATATTTTACCTCTTAATTTTTTTAAATTATTGTAATTTCCGTTCAGAAAGATTTTTTAAAAATATATCTGTTGGCAATATCTCAAAATCTTAATGCAAGCTGAAGTTTACAAAAATCTGAGATACTAATTTAGTTGTTACGGACACTAAAATTCAAATTCAAATACCTTTATTCAACATAGGACTATTGATAGTTACTTATTGATAGCTAAGAAAGCCACTGTACTGAGAAGAACCGGCGAAAGAAACTCAGCGGGCTTTTTTTTCACCTCCAGAGTTAGTCAAGTTTATTGCTGTGATCAAGCAACTTAGGTTATTAGCATACAAGCGTTGGCGTACTAGAAGAATTAAAGAATTCCGTGTCACATTCGCTTTGCAGCCTCATACGTCTTTTAACCATGTTCTTGACTTTGCGAAGTACGAGTTTAATATTAATTTCTCACTTGATAACATTATGAATTTGCATAAATTAGAATGCGAGTATATCAAGTGTGTTTTAAAGTAAATACGTAAAGTAAATAAGTAAGTACGGTTTCGTAAATCAGCGGAGGATGGGAACAATTCAAATGTTCACATTGCTACTGTTTAACATTCACCGGCTGAACGCTTTAACTTAAACTGTGTCATATAAAAGGCATTCGAGTGGAAACCCACTTAAGACGGCGGCCAATTAAGCAACGGCGATTAATTACAAGTGGAAAGCAAACAATTAGCCGAAATACGGTGATACAGATTCAGAGAGCCGCCGCTCCATATACGTGCGATGCCTTCTTATTAGGGCATGTGAATCTCGGCGCTACGTGATCGACTTGAGAAACATCGAGACACGAGCAATTAACGAATACTTAAATTGATTTCACATCGAACACTTTAAGCCAAGCGACGACAGTCTATCACATTTTCGTTGCGAATAAAACGGACAAAACCAACCCCGGGGCTTACTTAGTTATACTATTGAGTTTTAAAATCTATCCAAACGCTAAAATCACAAGCGAAATATCAATTGACGTATAAGAATATCGAACATGATGCCGATGAACATAACCCGACCGGCGAGCTGACAGACGACGCCAAAATTTGTAGTAAGTCGCGCGCCAAAAATGCGAAAAAAATAACAACAAAATGGCGGCGCGCGGCCGGCCGGTGCGACAGCGGCGAAATGTCGAGAATGCATCCACGTGGAGTGGGCCCCACGAATTCAGGGCCGAGCGCGGAGGCTCCCGTTCCGTGCTTTATTTTCGATGTCTCCCATTTGTTATACATAATACATGTTGGGTTGGCCCTATCGCGGCATCTCGCCCGTCAGAGAATTTAGAGACGGCGCCACCGGACCCAGCCGCTGATACAGGCTGATGGCTTTTAAAAATCGAAGCCGCTTTCTCGATTTCGTTTCGATTATTGTGAACAGTTTGAATTTAGAATCGTAAATGAAACAACTGTATGTTTTGCTAATTGATACGCCGACTTTTACTTTTGGTACTGACGTTCCTTTTAATTATCATAATTAGAGATATGAAAGTAGTACGTTTAGTATATTAAAACTATTCCATTCGCATCTGAGTTTAGATAAGTAAAAATAGTAACAGGAAACTAACATCCCCCTGTATACCGCAGAAATCATTCCCGAATCGGCCCTGTCGGAGGAATGCGTCGCGACATGAACTTATGAGTTACAGCCGCGGGATTTTTTGTGAGCGCTGAAGAAATGGCGGTCCGAGGAATTAGCCTTACAGATCTACAGGTATGGCGGATTAAAAAATTAATGTTTCGCTTCTTATATTTTTTGTAACAAAATACTAAAAAATTTTCAACGGTCTTCAGAGCAATATGCATATGTGGAAACTGTCATATATGTTTTATTCCATATTCAGAGCTTAAGAACACTTTTTTTTCTGCGGCTTTGATTCGATTCTTTTTTTGGCTTAATTAATATAGTTATTTATGAAAAATCCACTTGCTTAACCCCTCGGTTATCTTATACAGGGACCCGTAACATCAACTCAATGTGTTTAGCAGATATAATAGAAAACTACGATTGGTATTCATCGCTTCGCAGGATCGAGAGGTTAAAGAGGCCGTTCTCGAAACGGATACGTCGGCGGAGCGGTCGTAAATCGTGGTCTGTTAAGAGAGAAAAAAAAAACGACAAATAAATCCAATTAAATCATTCCATTTGCGTACTAGTTAGAGTCGGGCCTTGAGGGATCGCGTCATTCGCGACTGTTCGGAGTTTCTCGGTAATCCGTAAGAGTCATTGCGCGACGCTAAGATGGGTTGCCGCGAGGTGGCCGCTCGCATGCCAAGTGGCCCGGCGGTCGTGTGAGAAAAACCCGAAAAGAGACACTAGATAGGGTATGCAGGACGCGTGCGGCGCGACATTGGGCGCGCAAGTGGCAATTAGAGGAGCGAGAAGTGAACCGAACGAATGGCCACTTCTAGCTATGGCCTTACGCTGGCGGTATTCGGTGGTACCGCCGCGCCGGTTCAAAGCGAAAGGCAAAACATTGCTATTTCGTTGCCAAATAATGACTTAGGTTCAGGAAACGAGTGAGCTAACTCTTTTGGAAGACTTCCCGGTATTATTTCCATTACTTGTAGAGTAAATTGGATCAAGGTATTTTGTCATTTCGATAAAGAGGACTACCAATATTAGAATTTAATGGTCTGCTTAAGGCGGTGAAACAGCGGTTGTGACGTTGCGATTGCGATCAGAGGCAGCGGATTCGAATCCAGTATGATTGTCCTAATACGAGGACAATTTTTTGTTTTTTCAACACTATGCCTTTGTTTAAACCGGAGTCGATTGAACGACACAAACTTGAAGGTTGACTGCACTCATAGCTCAGCGGCATAGCTGACATTACCAAGTACACTTGCAGAAAAAAATAAATGCTGCATACATTGAAACCGAATCCGGGTGTAATCTCTTGTGACACAGGAATTATTAGGTTTTTTCTTAGTTATTTTTTTTAAATATATTTTAAAAACGAGTTTATATTTTTTTGTAAATATGAAGTAAAAACATAAAGTACAATTCTGTTAAATAAAATGAATAAACACAATAGCAAGATTCCAATTTGAAAACGCTCTCTGAGGACCGCACTAGTCATTTTACTCATATGTTTTAAAGTCTCAGGCCTGTAGAGCCTCAGCTCTCGAATACAAGTATTAAATGCTGCTTAACTTAATCGACCGCTGTGTGCTGAATTTATGAGATAAACAATTAAGGTGATACGGTTGATGCGGCAAACGTTTGCGTAACGTTCCAAATTTAAATTAACGAAACCAACTACGGCCTGGTCATACCGGCCCGATATCGAGCAATCGACCGTAGATTCGGGGCGATCGGTTTTATTTGCGGCTTTTAAGAGCACGCGATCAGAAATTAGTTGCTCCTTCGCCCGTATCTGGACAGGCAAAAAGACAATCAATTCTAAACGGTTCAAGACTGCACGATAGCTTAATACGCTATGAATCACGTTGTGACTCGGTAATTATATGACTGTTAAACAGGGCCAAGCAATTCGAGTCGAAGACAATTTACGAAGAAAAATGTGCGTTTAAAAACTATGCCTCCATCAACTGTACTAATCTACAGAATGCCTCTGGCACTAAATTATATACATTATTTTATTTATGTATAATTCTTTGCTGTAAACAAATAACGCGATTATTGAATTTTTTCTTTGGTAATTAAAATTACACGTTTAAAAGTTCTTTGTTGCTTATTTTATATAGTCATGAAATTGTCTAGACTGCTGTGAAGAGTTTATGTTATTAATTTTACATTACAATTTAACATTTTCATTAAAATTTTTTTTTCATCATTTAATATTAACATTATGAACAACCAGAATTTTAAAATAATCACGTTCGTGCGAACATTCGTTCGCGGCGGCGTGACAACGCTAAATTACAATTTATAATGATTACTTTGATGAAAGCGTGTTTGTGTTTATTTACGATGTACTTCTTTTTAAATCCGCATGATGTTTTAGTTGAAAGTTGATAGTCGACTCTGTGGTTTGATTTATGCGTTTTTTATTAGATGTATGACGCGGGTCAGGTGAAAAATGAGGTTGTATTGATACCGACAATCGAATTTCTGATGACATTTTTAAAAAATTTTTTTAGTTGATTTAATGAATTGATTAGTCATAAATTCACTTAGTGTTTCTTCTATTAAATAAATCTCTTGGAGCAATTTCAAAGATATGTGTAACTACACAGTATCTTTTGAACCAACTATCAAGGGAACTTGTCTTCTAACCTCCAAACGCTGTCATAGTTTGCCGTTTCATACTTGACAAGACGTATGTGCCGATGTATATTATGAACTTAAAGATAATCAAGACAACGTCAGAACAATAAAAAGGAAAAATATTCAGGTACTATATAGAGAGCGCATTCCTGAAATGCCGGCAACGCATTTGCAAGTCTCCGGTGCTGCAGATATTAATGCGCGGCGGTGATCACTTTCCATCAGCTAAGCCTCCTGCCTTTCCCCACTTTTCCATTAAAAAAAAATTTACGTCGTCAAAACAACTCCCGAAAACCGCGGTCGCGTTCACCCATTTAGCTGTCGAACGCGATACGAGAGATTTCGACACACCGTCAACATGGCGATATCGGCGCTATCGACGCAGTGAACAGCATAGGCGTTATCGTAAACAGTTATCGACGTAAACAGTTCGCTGTGCCCGTTGACCGCAGAGTTCACGCTTTGATGTCGCCGGTGGCGTCGGCAGCGGCCACGTGCGGTATCGGTTCCGGGTTAGCGTCGCGGCTTCGCGGAACGCCGTTATTTCGGCAGCCATTAATCTGTTGCGTGACCAGCATGCGAACGGGCGGCGGACTTCCTTGTGGGCCGGTTCCAGGAGACGCGGCGTCTGCTGAGGCCTTGAGCGATCAGATTGGCAGTCTACTAATGTTCGCCGAGGGAACTTATCACACTCCGCTTTGTTTGTTTACGAAGTCTAAGCCTTCGCCGAAGTGAGCGGTTAGACGTGACTCTAGTTTGACCTACTTTTATATAGCGACCCGAGTTTGTAAATGTCACCTGAGGGCTTGCAGATGATAACCTTCAAAGGGGGCTCCGACTACCCCACTCACCAGACGAAACACTAAAGTGTAAACTTCTAGCTAACGGAGATCATATTTGAAGCGGTGGTACTTCCGTGGGCGAGCCTACCCATTCGTGCAGCAGTTGAAGCTGTTTCGTGGGCCTACCATTGTAAAACTATGATTGTTGCGTGCTAAGCAATGGTCAGGTCTAGAAAAAAAAAACCTTTTCACCCCTTAAGTTATTAATGTTTCCTTCCTAGGAAGTAAATAATATCAAGTTGTGATTATATCACAGAAATCACACACATACATATCACAGACAGAAATCTCCTTTTATACTAACATATATTCACTAGCCGTCATCTGTAGCGTGACTCCACCAATGTCTCTTATCGCTAGCAGATGGCGGTCAATCAATAAATTTGAATAATAACGGTAATTAAATGTAATTTGTCGACTATTAATCTTCGTGAATCGTAAAACATTAATTTTCCGTGTTCATCGACGACAACAACGCTGGCCAAACGCTATTTAAATAGAGTCGTCTGTCTTCGTAATTTCTTCCTACAAGATACCATGGATAGCACGTGTGAGGAAAAGATTAAAAAAGCAAGAAAACCATTAGAAATGTTATGTGTTTAAAACTTTTTATGTTATAGTTATTTGAAAAATTAACGCTGTCTGTAATAACCCTTAAACTATTTCTGTTAGAATGAAACTCAATACATTTGAACAAACTTTACAATACATTAGTATTATTTTTTAGATTGTATTATATACTTGTTTTTTTATTTAATACATTCTTAAATGATGGTAACTATACCCAAGATATCAATATAGGTAACTTCGGAGGTGTCCTATGGACATGGTATTACAACTAAAAATATAAAAAATTTAATTATTATACGAATTAAAAAAGACAACACATATTGTGATGTGTGATTTTTGTGATGATTTAATTTAAAATAATCTTAAAGGGGGCTACATATGTACATACGTATAAGAAATTGACAGGTACACTAATCTAAAACTAATATTTTAACCTCTTTATTAGGGCGATACATTTGTATTCATCAGACGAAAATCTGAAGCGTATTTTCGCTGACATAACGAGCCTCAACAGGATCTGAGAATGATAAAATCACGATCTATTGAATCATATTAAAAGAAGGCCACAATTAATTAAAAAAACATCCAAGCAAATCACGTAAGGTTACAACTCTGTCGCTTAATGGATCTCACACATTGTCTCTAATCTTCTTGACGTAATCCTGGACTTTGCAACAGTAGGGTCATACTCTTCGTGAGTGGGGCAAATATCATAAGGGAAAAAGCGTAGTCTCAGGAGACTGGCGTTAGATAAAATTATTCTGCTTTGTTGTTTGGTCCGATAAGGTCACCAACCCACTTAAAAGTGGGCGATGTAATTGTACCCTTCCGTGATAGCTCAGTGTCCGGGCGCTCGTCTTTAATTCAATATACTCGAGCAACCTGAGTTCGATCCCTGGTGCCGGCACCAATGAAATTGTTAATTTTAAGTGCCGAATTACCACGTGCTCAGCGGTGAAGGGAAACAACGTGAGGAAACCTAAATATTTTCGAAAAAAAAATATTTCGAAAATATGTGAAGTCCGCCAATCCACAATGGAGCCGCGTGGGTGACTATGTAATACTCCTAACCCTAATACTACGACCTAATACGACCCTAATACTCTCTGTACAGAGGAGGTCTTTGCCCAGCAGTGGGACATGTATAGGCTGATACTAATTGTACCCTTTGGTGCAATGGATTTTATACGACGGTAATGAGTTACCATTATTGAAGATGAATTGTTTGCGTGTTCGCCACGTACTATCATAAAAACGCACCCATAAAATATTACGTAACACGCCCATAGGCCACTAACGAGTATGATGCTTTTACTGCGGATCGTGGGTTCACATCTCGCAGGTGATTAGCGTTTGTATGATCAACAATAAATCCAGATCTGGGTGTCTGATGTATATGCAATTTAATGAGAAGTGTAATGTTGATAAAAAAAAAATATACGACCATAGACATCAATCTACATTTCTAAATATTGAACAAAAATTTTATTCATATATTTATTTATAAATAATAAAAAATTGTGATGCAACATAAAATATCTAACTTTGCTTGGTTGCTCACTTAGATACTTATTAATTTTTCATTAAATGAGGAGTGTACTTGATAGAGCTCGCCTCATGGACACTGTCAAAATACAGAATAAAATGTTTAAGCAGCGCTGTCAACGCATAATTGTACTGGCAATGAAGATTGACATTTTGTCCGCGGCGACCGCTAGTAGATTTGGTTTGCGTTAAACATCTCATCGAACGAGTTCGGTGAAATGGAAGCGTTTAAATCAGCGAAAGTGAAACTCTGAGAGGCGTTGCACCACAGACTAAACGTACGGAGAGACTCTTGAACACGTTCTAGCTGACGGACCTAACGCCTCGCCTGCATAAAAGTTGTAGTACATCTGTGCGTATAGTCGCTTTTCGCGCGAAACGCATGACACGGTATTTTAAAAGATAACCTCAATATTGCAATTTGAAATTAGAACAAATAGGATCAGGCGTAACGAAGGAAGATTAAAGAAACGCCGCAAGTTCTAAAGGCAACAAAACAGGCCTACAAAATGAATAGAGCCCACCAATGTTACTTAACATGTTATCGGTAATATAAATCATACACTTTTACAGCATTTTAAGGGAGCATTATCTCAACTGATTAGCTCGGAACAAAGATTCTTCTGTGATCTTCAAAGTATCCTTTCAGAGCGACCTCTGAGGTCGTCAGATAGGGCGCTAATAGGCGGCTCTTGATAAGCTAAATGACGAAGAAGGTCACCTTGAAGGTCACAATGTCGAAATGATTATCTTCAGTATTGAAAATAACAGTGTACACACGCAAATGTCGTGTTCCAGGTTATTGTATAATGTATATATTGATATATTTCGCGACAGATTATCAAAAAAGTCTGACAGTGCTTAGCTTTTTCAACGTAACAAAGTGACGGTTGCTTGATTTATTTATATCAGGCTTCATAGTTCTTGTTGTATGATATTGAACCTTTGAATTGAACTGAATTGACTAAGTATCGTTACTATATACAAAGTTTTTTATAACTATATTTTTGAATAAGTAGACCCCTCAATCGCACCTTTAGTTACTCGTTTTCCATGTATAACATGTAATGTATATTTATGTATATGTATATATATATGCATTGCATTTATCGTATTGATTATACATATTATATATTTCTGTACGTAAAATTGTTCTTATTGAATTGTTTGTTACAATTTTAGTTTTATTTTTACAGCTACTTCTTTTATCGTCGCATAAGCCAGGATTTTGACTGGTACTTGTATTAAAAGCATTGTTGCTTCATATAGAAGAATAAGTACATAGAGAGCTTTTCAGTTCTCTTGTATCAAGTCTCAAAGCTTATGGTGCACTGGACAATCCTCGATGTGACACAACTGTTAGACTGTGATAACTCAAATCCTGTATTTGGTGTCCATAATTGTTTTTTTTTTTGTGAAAAGTTGCAGGCGGTTCACCTGGTGTTAAGTAACTACCGTCGCCCATAGGCATCTGCTAGACCCGAGAGTTCCAGATGCGTTGACAACCTTTTGAAAATTGGGCTCCGGCCACCTTACTCACCAGACGAAACGCGAAAGTATTATACTGCCACTTGACGCCGGTCTTCTGTGACGTCGTGGTACTAACCCGGACGAGCCTGCCCATTCGTGCAACAACCGAGGCTGCTGCGTTGACCTACCACCGTAAAATATAGAGAATTACAACGTTTGACCAAAGTCTGTAGTAGAAGTCATAAACTCTATATCACTACTGTCTTTTCATTGTTATCTTAATACTTATACTATTCAAACGCTACGTCAAACTCGTGCTGGTTGGAGTAGATAAACTTACTTGGAAAGATTAGTGAAGATAAACACTTCAAAGGCAGTTAAAGTTCTAGAACCCGCATTGAATCTCTCTAATGGAACATACTTAGTATGAAATACAGAATCTAGGGTCACCTGAAGAGATTTGACCCAAATATATTAGAAACAAATTGCCAAAAATCGTACTTATAATGGACTGTAATCACTAGACTACAAAAGAGCTAAATAAACAGAAATTAATTAAAACACGTAAACTAGATATTGTAGCAAACATCGACTTCAAGAAAGGAGGATTTTCTCAATTCGGTTATATTTTACTTAATGTTTGTTATCTCAGGATTTTCTCATTTATGAACAGAAAAGAATTTAATTTGATAGCGTTGAGTTCGGTTTACCTCACATGTGTTCCCATATTCATTTCAATGATATTGGACTTTAGATTCCGGAAAGACTTTGGTATAAGTAAATAGCAACAGCCTATACATATCCCATTGCTGGGCAAAGGCCTCCTCTTTGACAGAGGGTATGAGGGCACAGTCCACCACGCGGCCCCAGTGCGAATTGGCGAACTTCACGTATCTTAGAAATATTTTTGTTTTGTTACTTTGAAAACATGCAGGTTTCCTAACGATGTTTTCCTTCACCGTTGCGCGTGTGATAAAGACAAAAAATACGTTAGTGCACTGTACAAAATAAAATAGAAAAATTTTTTGTGTGCGTGTGTGAGACATTTGAAGTCAGTTTTTTGTTAATGACCACTTTTAACTTGTTGAAATTATAAATGAAACTTTGGCGAAAGCGTTTATTTTTAATTTTTAACCGACTTCAAAAACGGAGGCATTTCTTAATTCGTGTTTAATGTTTGTTATCTCAGAACTTGCGTCAGAGATGTTTTATGCGTGTTAACCATTGTCACCGGTTCTACTCACCGTAGGACACAGAACAGGATAGATTTTTTAAGTTAAAATTTGGCAAGCAGGTGTTTCACCTGATGTTCAGTGAATACCGCACGGATATCATCAAAACCTGCCGTTGATGAGTTGCCTTGTGCCGAGAGTTAAAAAGATGGGCGCCGGTTACCGCACTCCCCAAATGAAACACGAAAGAAAGGGTCTATTTCACGCCGGTCTGTGAGTGTGCGAGATGCTTTCCAGAACGAGACCATTCGTGCAAAAGCCGAAGCTGCCCAACAGTCAAAAAAGTGTTAATCCATTGATGTGCCAAGTCCAGCTTCGGCGCGGGCGAAATACATAAAAATCTAACTGTGGTAGGGCTCGCAACAGCCTCGGCTGGGGCGGGCTCGTCCGCGTAAGTAGGCCGGTAAGACCGGCGTAAATTGGATGTATAATACTTTCGCGTTTCTTCTGGTGAGTGATGTAGCCGGAGCCCAATTTTCACGAGGTTGTCAACGCATCTGCAAACCCGCGGGTGTAGCAGATGTCCATGGGCGGCGGTATTCACTAAGCATCAGGTGAACCGCCTGCTCGCTTGAAAACTTTCAAATAAAAAAAATCACATACAGCGCGGTGACCCCTCAGTACAATTAAGTTCTAAAACGCGCGAGATAACGATCGGCGTCGGTGCCGTCGAGGCATCAGTCACGATTTACGCGGGCGCATAAAACGCGCGGACACAGGGTACTCGGTTCGATTCCCTTTAATGGGCGAGAGCGTGGGACCATAAACGGGACGGGATTTACGGCGTCGGATTTTTCCCGCCGCGGATCCGCGCCCACCGGTGCCTTTACGAGGACAAGGCCGTGTCGTACTAATTAAGGCACTCGTAAACGCGAGGGCCCTATCAATCAGCGCCGAGGGCAACCTGGTTATTGGTATACGGGGGCGCGTGGGGTGAATCGAGTGTCGCCGGTTTGGGCGAAAAATCGCGAAATGTGCAAGCGGCCCGCCGCCGAGGACCGCTCGCGTAGCTAACGACCCCACCCCTCCCTAATTGAGTAAAGATTAAAATGACTACAACACTCGGTGTCTAGCGCAGACGGCATACCTGTAATAGCGAACAAGTAGTGCCACCTGTCTATTAATTGGGCGACGAGTGTACGAACGAGAGAACGAATGTATGCTTCGTTTCACGCAAATAAGAACGACTTAATTTTTTTAATGGAATCCCATTGGTGGAAATTATTTTAAAGTAATTACTTCCAATGGGTACTCCAGATATACTTATAGGAAGTCCAGGTGGAATATAGATCTCTAATCCTTATACATAACAGTTATTCCGTAAGTATTCTAGTAACTTCTGAACGGCTAGAGGGAATGAAGTCATATTTCACAGTATATTTGTTTCATTAAGGCGATCGCTTACATGTTTGCTTAAATAACGCCACCTACAGCAAAGACAACACGAAGATTATAATACCATCAAAATAATTAAAAAGTGTGTGTGTGTATACTTATGTACGCACGAACGCAAAAATTATATTTCTTAAGCATAAAGAATTAAATGCAATTGATAATGGTTTCCTAAATAACTTGAAATTATTAGTAATTGCCAAAAGGCTGTTATTGTTTGCCAAGATTAAATTGAGTACCAATCATCATGTCATTTTGAGTTAAAATTTGCTCTCATAATTTTTCAAAAGGCGCCAAAAATCTTTACCACAATCTATCCACACAAGATCTACGCGATGTAAGGACAACGGATGCGGCGTTTGTGTTGAAACAAACACGATGCCGCATCCAAAACCCGAGCTCTCTGGCTCAGCTTAGCACTCCTCAAAGCGCAGGTTGATGTGACACGTTCACGCAGCAATGACGTCACCTCGAGGTCCGATGGTCAAATGAATTGTCATCCTCGCAGATTGGTGAGTTGAGGCCAATTTCCTGGGGTGAAGAGCGACTCCGACGAATTCATTCGAAGTTTAAAGTGCAACTTCGTTAGACATTTGACTGCCAGACTGATAGCTCGGTGGTAACAGTTCGTAATATTTCTTTCTCCCCTTATTGCACCTTGGTGGGGTTGGACAACATGTGAATCATCGTGTTAATAGTTTTGGGTAGGTTTTTTGAAAATAGACAATAGAAAATAAACCCTCCTTGGAAATAAAAAGCCAGATCCGGAAAAAATTACCGTTTGGCAATAGAACCCAGAACTGACCAATAGGTTAGCAACTGTCCCACCAAGTTGTCTATCGATATCTATTTCAGCATCAAGATTCCATTATAGCACGTTTTTATTATCTACATTTTTTTTATTTCAGACTGCTATATAAGCTTTACCCGGTCTGTTATATAAACTCTTGTTGCTCTCCCAGCAAAGGCCGTTCTTAAATTCGCGCCGTTGCCTGCCTATTAGTTACTCTATTACGAGTTTTCGATGAGCCAGACACTTGAAAACCCGAACACAACCCATAACGAAGTGGCAACGTAAGTACTAATACAGAGTTAGTATTGTTCCTTATCTCTCCATTTGCAGAAGTATATGTATTAGTGGCACAAATAAGTAGATACATACGGCAGAAAAAATGTATTCCTTTTTGGAATGTTGATACGATTCATAGTGAAGACATTTGTTTCGGTCAAATGCACTTATTGCCAGTCACGTTATA